CGGTAAAACTATTACACCGCATACACAAGGGACCGCAGTGTTTCTCACCATATCCATATAATGATTAAAAGTGGACAGCTGTAAATTTCATAGTACACATAACGAATTCCGATGATTCGTAAGCGCAAATCCCCTCATTTGTTAATGCACGAATGCCTGCTTAGGTAGTCTATAAAGCTCATGGCGACCTTTTTATGAGCTATATTTTTTATGGAAAAAAGATGCAAGCGCGCAAGGTGTATCATACCTATTGGTAAGCGATCACCGCCACCCATGGACACTTACAACATCGGAGGAGTCACAATTGCGTTTCCGATCATTGTGATGGGAGAAGGTTCTCTTGACGGGCCCTAAGTCGTATCGGCCCGGAAATACCGCTGGCGACAATTGGTTCCACAAAGCAGCTGTACGCGTAAGAAAATTGCCTAAAAACACACACGTGGTGGACTGTCAACCATCAAGGTGGTGTGGTGAAATTGGAATTTATTTTGGTGCCAATTATTCCATGTACGGCCGATTCCGTGTTTTATAGAGCTCTGACGATATGCTGTTAGAAAATAGTGTCTTGCTCTATTTAGGACACCGAGCCTTTTTTAAGCCAGCTTGGCTTTCCCTTCCAAATGACTGCGAAATTTAACGTCGCTCGATATGCCAACGCCAAGAATTCCGATCGAAACTGTGGCAACAAAGCGATTGCCTTCAATAGAAGGAGATACAACGAAGAGTTTCCTCTTCGCGAAAAACGCACAAACCTGTGTTAAATTGTACTAGATTGTAGGGTTAAATTGAACTAGATTTAGTGGGACCCAATATGAGGTTTTTCTTAACAAACTCTCGACATTGGACACCAGCTGATAAAGCTTTTTATAGCCAATAGACTGAAAGCACAAACATGAATCATCAAAAAAGCTCAGTCAAAATGGATGTGCACACGTGACAGGTGACTCTACTGTTTTAGAGCCACGCTGAAAAATAGCAGTGGTCACTACAGCTTTTCAGTGGGCTCTAGGTCTGACAAGTTTTATAAACCCTACAAGGCTTAAAGTGAAAACACCTCTAAGATAGGAGGAACGTTAATGGAAATAGGAGCCCTACGGATAATGCCGTTCAGGGAATCTTGGCGGAAAAAGCGGCACAAAATAGTACGTATTTTGACAAGAAAGTCCGTGGAGAGCATATATCTACATCTATATTGACACAGCATAAGGGCATTGGTGTGATTGACAAATTAGTGCCCCAGACGGATTCCTGCAGCAACGCGTAAACTTTCATTTTCAGTAAATGTGCCCAAGCTAAAGAGTGAAGCCAATGAGTGAAGATAGTAAAGAGTGAATACAATGACTCGATTCTTTAAATGACATATCACAGAAAGCTCCAAATTACTGTCTAAATATTGAAACTAACTATAAATTTCTGTACTTTTCACTAAAATAATAGCGTTTTTGTTGGTATACTTCCATTGGAAAATTTTCATTGAAATTGATTCGTATATAGGATATTATTGCAGCAAGGAACACGGTTAGAAGTGACACTTGAAAAATTTCTTTATACCAATACAACCGTTGGTAACGTAGCTTGAGTCCAGTTTAATTCATTATTAGTTTTAAGATGCAACTCGATTTAGTTTAACAATAGAAATGCAGTGACATTTCCAAATTGGACTCGAGCGAAGAAGATACGTAAGTTGAGGTACAAGAATACAATGTCGTTAAATAGTGATATCGATCAATATGCGAATTTAAGAAGAACCATTTGTAAACATAATCTAAAAAAAGTACGTTTAAAAAAACCGACTTCAAAAACTAAAAGGTATAAAATAAATAAGTTTTAATTTAATTGACCTCTTATGCAAACCTAATACGTTTAATATTAATAAAATACTATTATTTGTATGAGCTACCTATTGATAGGTTTGTAGTCGGTCCCAAGCCAAATATAATAATAGCTAAAGTTTTAATATAGCTATAGTTAAGACCCATTTACATGGTGCCAGTTTCTTGCCTGTTGTATACAATTAAATTGAAGCAATAAATGAGTTGCATGGTCTAAACAACAAATGGTCTAAACAATTATTGCGCGCAATTTATTGCATTCAATTATTGCTCTTGTATGTACAAGAAAATGGCATCGTGTAAATGGGCCTTTACTCATTCAGGTATCAATATTATATATATTTTTATCCTAACGTTTTCATCTGTTTCACATTAATTCACATTGTTCTTTAGGTTTATTTACGTAGGTTTACTTTAGGTGTAGGAATTTCATTACAGTAAGCTAGCTGTTTATAATATTAAGTTCAAAAAGATATACCAATCGAATTGATAACCTCCTTTTGAAGTCGGTTAAAAAAGGAGCGCCTTCGTGCTAAACACTGTACGAACTACGTTAATGCCTGGTGTAAAAATTTGGATAAAAATAATTTTATCGTAAATTTTATTAAATAGTGAAGCCACCCATGAGATTTTGCTGTTGCACGTTTGGGTAGGCTCGTCCGGGAAAGTACCACGGAAAGCCTTATAGAAGACCTAAGTTTAAATACGTTGTACAGTTTAAATACAATAGAATTATAATTTCTGTAACTGTTTCATCTGGAGAATGAGTCTGGTAGTATAGCCGGGGTCCACCCTTTTATTGGTGGGTCTACCCCACAGGTCATGAAGATGTCACATAAAAAAGACTAATGTGATTAACTGGTTCATAACCAACAATGACTGTTAAGTCATGAATGTTTGTCACTTTATTGTCTCATTTAAAGTTATAGCAATTACTTATTTAGTGTATTTTTTCTATTATAAAATTTTGCACACAGCGGGGTTGCTAGAGGGGCACGTGGTTTTTAAAATTAAAATATTGTTGTGTAGTTTTCTTTTTTGCCACATTTACAAAGAGGCCCTTACCATTTGCTGGTAAAACGCCTGTAGAAAGTTATTAGTTAAATGTCGGTGAACATGGCATCGAGTTTTATTTTTGTTAAAGTGCTAGCAAGGAGAATCAGACCTTTCCTTCATTTATTTTTATATGGTTAAAAATTTTCTCAATTCAGAACAAAGCTCTAATGCCATTGACTTGTATTTGATACGTATTTAAAAACACTATTCGGGATGTTTCAAATCATGGAAAATGAAATGTGAATGAGAAATAGTGGATAAATACTTCGTTGAGGACTGAATTTTTGTAAATATTTTTTAAATTCAAAACTAGCCAGCACTTGACTGCCATCTCACCTCATGGTGAGTGGGGATGCCTTGACGACGCCTACATTGTAATCAGACGGAAAGACGGACACCGTAAGGTTGATCCATCCCTTAGCTGCACGGATGATAAATGACGAAGCGAATGTGTTCTTGTGCGAGGAACGTCGACAGCATAAGGGTGGAGCCGCGATTAGGGCAATGTTATATATATTTAGTCATAATAGCTTTTTTCCCTTTAGGACAAACAATTGTACTTGATCTTATTTTATGGGCTTTTTTAATCGAGCATTTTTATAAGAATAGCTAAAAACTATGTAATATCTATAATCTGCCTACTTTAAAAATATTATTTATGTAAACATCATCGAAACATCATTCCGCTTTATTTAAAGTAACCTTATATGCCAGTGTAGTCATCAGCTTCAAAAGTATCAGTATATTTATATAAAAATTATCAAGAAGTGTTTTTGTAGCTGGTATAGGCCATACTCTCCATAGAACTTAGTGTAGTCAAGAAACAGACTTATCGTGAAAAACACTACAACGTGTTTTAATCTAGACACCATGCTCTCGATTTCAGACCCAGACACTAGACCCTTGCTTACGTATTGTTTACTAACATTTTTTCCACACATTACCGCCTCAAGTCTATCAAAGTTATGTGATGATGGTGGTTAAGATAATTTTTCCTAGCTTAGAGAATGAGGCGAGGCCTAAAGATAACAAGCGAATCTTGCGTCGTGGATCGAGCACAAAAACACGTATTATAGAAGTAAGATTTAACAAGTAGAGTCCACTGCGGGCATGGCAAAACTACAAAGGCTCTTTGCTACTGAATCGGCAAAGGCTTCCTCTGTGCAGAGGCTAGTAGGGCATAGTCGACCATGCTACCCCACTGCGGCTTAGCAAATTCTATATGTCGTCGATTTTTTTTTCTGTTGTTATTTGGAAAACATGAAATATTCCTCAGGAAAAAAGCCCTGTAAAAAAGGGAAAACCCTTAACTAAGTAGCACGTATAAAGTCACATTTTAATACAAAGCTATGAAAAATAAAATCGTCTCTTGATTATATATGAAGCCATTTTAAAAGTATTGTTACTCAGCAGATTTTCCTGTTGCTTTGAGCAATTTTCACAGTCACGTGGGTGTATCGCGAGCGAATCAGGACCAGGGTAACTGGTGACTGAGGAGCGTGGAAACCTATCATCTACGGTTGTAGTTGTGACTTTAAATAACCTCTGTGGTAGGGCCATGCACCTGCTTTTGCCGTAGCACGAATGGACATGCTCACCGGAAGGGAAGGGAAGTACCACGACCACACAAAAGACCGGCATGAAGTGAGAATATTATACTTTCGTCTTGTGAGTGTGGTAACCGAAGGCTCATTTTATAAAGGTTCCTTTAACATCAGGTTAGTCATCTGCTCGTTTCTAAAATTAAAAAAAATATACATTAAAAAAAGGTAGAGCCGCTTGGTTGCTTCTCTTTAAAATATACATCAATTCTTCTCATTTTGCTTATACAGCCTAGTTTTAACTAAAATTTTCTGGTTCAATTTTCTTCAATGTTCCTTGTTATTTTATGACAATGCCTCACGATAAAATTTAAAAAGAAGTACATGTCATAATACCGCATTTATATTCCGAAATAATAGTTTTCATTCCCTGTACAACAGTAAAATGGCAAAGACATGAGAATAAAACTAATATACTCCGTTTCCTTAATTGAATTGGAATCGTACTACAAACTAGGAATGACGTGGACATATATAGGATCAGTTGCATATAAAATTTCAGATTAAACGAATGAGCCTGGGTAAATAATAATTCATTAAATTTAATAAATTAAGGTAGAATTTCGACCATTAGACGACAACTAGTTCAATATTAAGAGCGGAGAGCATCGTAATACGTTTTCCTTAAGGGGTGGGGGAGTTAAGCGTTATGTGAGTTAGGTACACTTGTTGCTCTAAGCGAAGACTTCAATGCAACAAGTCTCTAAATAAAAAGTGATTTGAAGATTTGAAGAAGAATTGATTTATATGCATAACTTTTTATTTTAATAATTTTCTATGTGGTGTTATGTAATAGTGTTGTGTTTACATTTTCTTTATTTTTTATATTTATCATTTTGAATGAGTTTACATATAATAATGATGGTGACTCAATTAGTTAAATCGAATTTTAAAGACAGATAAAAATATATTTATTAATGTAAACTTTTCTCTTCTACTTTTTACGTAAGAAAATAATAATAAGCAATACTTTCTTATTTTATTATTTTTAAAGAGATAAAGCGATATTAAATACGATTAATTTATAGCGGCTTTGAGCAAGGATTACTGCTAAACCAAATTAAACGTGCGAAACTCGCCGTTATCACTGCCGCGTGAACTTATGCTCTATTGAAATCGCGATTGAATTTCGCCTTTAATTCGCGACGCGTCGATAAGGTGCACGTGTTAGGTAACTGGCGGTCTCGACAGACAGGCGCCGCTGTCGACACCGGAATCCGCCGGGGCGGTTGGATGTGGAAGCCTGGAGCTGTCTAGGCTGGGCGGGAAGGTTGCCACTGCGAGGGACGGGTGAGGTAGATGCTGCCGAGTGCCGCGCGAAGCGTCGGCCACTCCACTACCAGTCGAAACGTCAGCGCGCGTGCATGCGTCGCGCTCAGCGCTTGAGACACGTCGAAATCATTCGCTCGCGCTTAACTCGATCACTGTCACTTTCACTGCACCATCCCGCGGACCACGATGACACTGTGAACTGTTTGTTTGTTTGCCCCTGTGTGCGCCACGCCACGACGGAACCCAAAGGTGAGTTGATCCAAGCAACGTACGCAGAGCGACGGGAAAAAGGATACGTGTCAGTTATGAATGCTAAGTGAAAGGCGAATTCTTTGTTGAACTACGTGCATAGGGTGGCAAAACGTTTGATACACCTAGAAAGTTGTTTGGCAATTAAATTTTCTTGCTCCGCAGCGTTATCAGGTCTCGGGAGTGATGGAATAAATATAAATAAGTTTCGCGACAGATAAACGAAAGTGAATTGAATCTCGTATGCATAAAGATACAAAGAAGATATATAACTTTAGATTCTAGTTGATCGTCGCATAACATTTATTATATTTATCACGTAAAAGGTCATAACATCAATAACAAAATAATAAGTGTTATATAGAAATTCATTGCCAGATTAGCTTATAATATTTAATATTATCAACGTGAAAGACTAATCAATATTTGCCTTGCTTGATTTTTATACCGAAAGTACGTTTTGTAAAATTATAAAACCGAACCGATCTGACGTAGGTAAATATAAAAGGCTATAAAGTATTCCACTTTGCTAAAACAAGATAATTTTAATCTATACTTTTAAATCTCGTCATAAATCAAGTACTTAATAGGTAATTGTGACCTTAAAAAAGATAGCAGTTCTTATTATATTTGTAATAGGAAGTATGTATAAGTAAGTATAAGTAAGTATAAGTACAAAAAATAACATGCCTAGTTTATTTTATAAAATAATAAAACATAATACTTGCTATTAATGGTATGGTAGGTCATAGTATAGCTAATTACATGGGAATCTTAATAGACAGAAAATGGTTTAATTACATGGAATTGTACGATTTTCTAGTATTCTCTTAACCTTTTAAGCCTCAAACGTAATTTTGCTAAGCGAAATTAAATGAAAAATCTTTGATTGAACGATATATTTTAAAGAATATTACTTGACTCTTGTTTCTTATGGATCAAATACCACGCATAATGTTATATATAATACAATTAAATAAAGCGATGAATTAATAAGCTAACCATTCATAAATGTACAAAAAATTATTAAAAAATAATAATTTATTAAAATTTATGTGTGTTTGATCCTTGCATTATATGCAGTTTTAGAATAAAATTATCATGTATACTTTATCTTATCCCATTATTGCTTTTACTGTTAATATGGTAGGGCCACGCTGCGGCTTTTGCTTTTTGCGAATACGCAGGTACGGGAATTACCATGGCCTCATGGAAAACTGGCGCAAATTAGAAATAATACGTTTCCCCTGGTGAAGGAAACCTGGTTTCTTCGTGGAAGGTTGGTCCACTGGCGTGGTACTTGGTACTTTAGTAATAAAACTCAAGAAAATACGATGTTCATTCTGTTCATGGCTGCACTCAGAGTAGATTTTCTAGAGACCAATCATACTAATTGTGAAGTTATAATGTATTAATTACACTATATTAAAGCAATGACATTTGTAGACATTGCAAAATGTGTTGTGTGAACTAATGACATCTTTCTTTAAATTGTATATTTTATCCTTTAAACGAGTAATTCTTGTATATACAGCGTGTCGTTACCATCGCGACAATAAATGAACACACGTCTAACGCTACTTGCCAATAATCATGAAAAAATATTAATGTTAAACAAAATCCATAATTAAAAAAAAATATTTTTCAAACAAACTAATTAAGTAAAAAAAGAAACAAAATTTGTAACATCCTATACAACTCGCGCCACAGCGTCGCATTACAAGCCTCTCCTTCTAACAGTATGTTTTGTCTCTTTTAAATTCATGCAACCCATTCATATGCTTTGTGACCTTTACAAATGAACTTTACATTACAGTTTTATAAGTAAGGGTATTCTAAAATTCTTTGTTTTAGAAAATTTAATAACTCTGTAAATATTGATGTTTAAAGAATGTAAACGTATAATACAATTTTAAAAAGTTATCCCCTATACGTGTGTTCATTTATTGTCGCGATTGTAAAGACACGCTGTATATATAATCGGAATCTCGGAAACGGCTCCAGCGATTTTCATAGTATGTGTGTAGATTCGGGTAAATTTAGTATATGTGTAGATTCGGGAGCGAAAAATCGATCTGGCTAGTTTCATTTTTAGAAAATGTCCTTTTATCCCTGTTTTCAGGGAATGAAAAATATCATTCGAATATGACAGTAAATTTCGCCGCAAAAAGAAATGTTATAATAGCTCGGTCGGTAATCGGGCGGCCCTAAAACAGACGGCCGCGGTTCGTATCACGATCATTTACATACTTATTTTTTTTACTTTTTTTTCTATACCAGATCATTTTCTTTATTTTTTATTTTTTTTTATTTCCAAAATACATAATTTACCAAAAAAAAATCGAGCTCGGTCCTCCAGGTACTTTAAATTAATTGAGATAACCCTGCTAAAAATATGGTTCACGCACTCCACAGCCATGCAGCCTAATTGTTGGCGTATCAATACAGTACCTTCATACGTCGATAAGGTACGCTTATACCATTACTTTTTATACATTATAGTAGTAAGCTATACGTTAAATCAAGGCCAAAATAAATGCAGGCTGAAAACTATTTACGAAAATAGAAAATGCAATCGATTTGCAATTGCTTTATTCGTTACAAAATTTATACATATACTTGTTATCTAAATTTTTATGGTCTTGGTAAGATAATAATAAATATGCTGTAATAACCCAATACTTCCGAAGTGACTCTCATTATAATCATCGTATGCAACGTGGACGTTGTCGGCGTTACTACTTAGGCTTAGCCCACACGTAACTGATAAGGTTATACGGTTCAATGAAATGACAACAAAGCAACGTCATCTCAACTTTGTAATAATCGTAATTATTTAAATATAATATGTAACTGCATAATGTTCAAGTTAAAATAATAGTTTTTATTTTTTTTTTAGTTCAGTAGTGAAAATGTATTTTGAGTAAATGTAAGTTGAGACCCTTAGCAAGCTCACAAAAGACTTTATGCGAATGAATTATAATATAAAAATAGACTGGAATGTGTGACATATGTGTGATACATAACCATATTCCACTAACAATAGTTAATATAGTTATAGATATTCAAAGAATGCATCATATATGACTCTATAGCGTAGGGGTTACAATCGGGTTATTGTAGTGTTTTCTTCAACATTTTATTATTCTCCTTTTAATATGTAGCCTCTTAGAGCGCTGAATGTAATTGGTGGTTCTAAATGCAATGAGAAAATATATCAGCTTTCTTTGTTTTAAAGTTATAGATATTTGAAACATTAAATTTATTTAAGTAAATGACCGAAAAGATTTTATCAAATCGCAACACAAAATCGCAACGCTTCAACCACTAAGCAAAACGGCTGATTGCCACGCCGACAAGCATCTCAAAGTATTGAGTCTCTCTGCAAGGAACAAATCCAAATATAGATCGAAACTTTTTGCCGCCGCGGGTTCGATTCCCGCTTTAACAAGTTTTTCGTCAATTTTTCTACAAGTTTTAATCTTCCATCTTAAATGGAGAGATAAGGCATAATAAAACTAATAATTGGAATAAGTAGTATTTTGTATAAATTAGTAAAAATTGCAGCCCCGTTACTTCCTGTAAAGCTTTTAGATCTTTGATTATATACTCGACAACAAGTATATAATCAAGATCTAAGTACATAATCTAAATCATCAGACAGGTAGGTATATAATCTAAGTTTTACATTATGTAAGTTCAGGGTTGCAAATTTTTTTTATTCAAGGCTGTATGATAATAAAGCATAACTAGGCTACAATTCAAAACAATACAGATTTTTTTACACGGGTGTTTTTTTTACACGATGATATTTCAATTTAAACAAAGCGAATTTTCTTTGGACAGATATTGAATACCGGTACAGTAAAAAATTATAGGAGTCTTACTATTGACAAGTTGGATAGATATAAATAAATAATAGACGTTCAACAAAGTTCAATTTTGTCATTTCAACTGTTAATTTTTAAAAGTTCTTGCTTTATTACATTACATATAATTTTCTATTGAAGTTATAAAAATGAAAAATGGCTAATCATTGAAACAAAATTCATTACGTCGTCAAAGCAGTTCTAAAATTAACTTTGTCGTGTACGGCTTCTCTTGTTAATTGTAGAAGGGTTAACTTTTAAAAAGCAATTTACAATATCCAACCCCTTTTTCATAACTCACTGCCGTTGAAAAGTATACTCGATTTTCTTTTGTTCATTTGCTTAGTAACGAAATGAGCCAAGTTATTAATTTGTTTGCAATAAAGCGAAAAGTTTTATAACTATCAAAGTGGCACTTTGACATTTTCAAACGCTTGTAGTAGCTCTTATACTGTTGCAACCTGACGGGTCAGGCAGAGATGGGCTGCAGCCCAGTAGTCCCGGAATCTAGAAAAGGACTAAGGTATCTCCTGCCTGTCGTAAAAGGCGACTAAAAGGATATATAGACGGGCAACAGTATGATGAGGCCTCGAGATGCTGCAAGATGGCTAGGGAATCGGGGAACGTTTATCCTTGTCCGAGGCGTGCTCACGCCCAGTACCGAGGGACAGCAGTGAGTTCCGTAGGAGATCCCGGAGTCCCTCCAATGTTTAATGGGTAAGAACCCCAAATAACTGTCACATAATAACAGGGTATCTTACGAAGTCCCCGATACCAAAAAAAGGCATAGATGGGCTGGTGCTATTAACTTTTAAACAATTGTTGTTAAACTGTTGCCTCTTGTAGGTACTTGAAATTCGAGTCATGGAGTAGAATTATTTTGACTAGGTTTTGCGCTTACCTCATCAACTGCGTTTTCGGAAAATTTAAATAACTCGTGATTTGACCTTAAAGGTTATTTTTAAAATCGTCACTATTTTACCTATGTCGTTATTAAATAATAATGACAATTAGGAAGCTTTGTATAGAAAATTGATCTTTATTTCAATTGTAAAAATATCCAATTGAAACAGAAAGTAATCCCATCCCATAAAAAAATTTACAAAATAAACATTTTATTTTATATTAATG